CCGCATACTAGGCCACAAAAAGAGCCTCAGTAAATTAAAAAAGATGGAAATTGTACCAACCAACCTCTCAGCTCACAAAAGTATAAAACTAGAAATAACTTGTACAAAGAAAACAAAAAGGCTCACAAACACATGCAGGCTTAAAAACATGCTCCTAAATAATCAATAGCTCAATGACCAAATTAAAACAGAGATTGAGCAATATATGGAGACAAATGAAAACAACAGCACAACACCCCAACTTCTGTGGGACGTAGCGAAAGCAGTTCTAAGAGGAAAGTATATAGCAATCCAGGCATATTTAAAGAAGGAAGAACAATCCCAAATGAATAGTCTAATGTCACAATTATTGAAACTGGAAAAAGAAGAACAAATGAGACCCAAAGTCAGCAGAAGGAGGGGCATAATAAAGGTCAGAGAAGAAATAAATAAAATTGAGAAGAATAAAACAATAGAAAAAATTAATGAAAACAAGAGCTGGTTCTTTGAGAAAATAAATGAAATAGATAAACCCCTACCTAGACTTATTAAGAGAAAAAGAGAATCTACACACTTAAACAGAATCAGAAATGAGAAAGGAAAAATCACTATGGAACCACAGAAATACAAAGAACTATTAGAGAATACTGTGAAAATCTATATGCTAACAAGCTGGATAACCTAGAAGAAATGGACAAATTTCTAGAAAAATACAACTTTCGAAGACTGACCAAGGAGGAAACAGAGAATCTAAGCAGACCAATTACCAGCAACAAAATTGAATCAGTAATCAAAAAACTATCCAAGAACAAAACTCTGAGGTCAGATGGATTCCCTGCTGAATTTTATCAGACATAGAGAAGACATAATACCCATTCTCCTTGAAGTTTTCAAAAAAATAGCAGAAGAGGGAGTACTTCCAAACTCATTCTCTGAAGCCAGCATCACTCTAATACCAAAACCAGGCAAAGACACCACAAAAAAGAAAATTACAGACCAATATCCCTGATAAACATAGATGTGAAAATACACAACAAAATATTAGCAAACTGAGTTCAAAAATACATCAAGAGGATCATACACCATGATCAAGTGGGATTCATCTCAGGGATGCAAGGATGGTACAACATTAAAAAATCCACCAACATCATCCACCACATCAACAAAAAGGATGAAAACCACATGATCATTTCCATAGATGCTGAAAAAGCATTTGACAAAATTCAACATCCATTCATGATAAAATCTCTCAACAAAATGCATATAGAGGGGAAGTACCTCAACATAATAAAGACCATATATAACAAACCCACAGCCAACATCATACTTAGCAGTGGGAAGCTGAAAGCTTTTCCCCTAAGACTGGGAACAAGATAGGGATGCTCAACATAGTACTGGAGGTCCTAGCCATGACAATCAGGCAAAACAAAAGAAATAAAAGGCGTCCAGATTGGTAAGGAAGAAGTCAAACTGTCCCTCCTTAAAGATGACGTGATATTGTACATAACAAACCCTAAAGAATCCACTCCAAAACCACCAAATCTAATATCTGAATTCAGAAAAGTTGCAGGATACAAAATTAATACACAGAAATGTGTTGCATTTCTTTACACTAGCAATGAACTAGCAGGAAGAGAAATCAGGAAAACAATTCCATTCATAATTGCATCAGAAAGAATAGAATTGCACCTAGGAATAAACCTAACCAAGGAAGCGAAAGACCTATACCCTGAAAACTACAAGACATACTTAAGAGAAATTGAAGAGGACACTAACAAATGGAAACTCATCCCACACTCTTGGGTGGGAAGAATTAATATTGTCAAAATGGCCATCCTGCCTAAAGCAATCTACAGATTCAATGCAATGCCTTTCAAAATACCACCACGTTCTTCAACGAACTGGAACAAATAGTTCTAAAATTCATATGGAACCACAAAAGACCCTGAATAGACAAAAGAATCCTGAGAAGGAAGAATAAAGCAAGGAGGATCTCACTTCCCAACTTCAAGCTCTACTACAAAGCTACAGTAATCAAGACAATTTGGTACTGGCACAAGAAGAGACCCATAGACCAATGGAACAGATTAGCAAGCCCAGATATAAACCCAAGCATATGTCATCAATTAATATACGATAAAGGAGCCATGGATATACAATGGGAAATGACAGCCTCTTCAACAGCTGGTGTTGGCAAAACTGGACAGCTACATGTAAGAGAGTGAAACTGGATCATTGTCTAACCCCATACACTAAAGTAAATTCAGAATGAATCAAAGACCTGAATGTAAGGTATGAAACTATAAAACTCTCAGAAAAAAACATAGGCAAAAATCTCTTGGACATAAACATGAGCAAGTTCTTTATGAACATATCTCCTCAGGCAAGGGAAACAAAAGCAAAAATGAACAAGTGGGATGATATCAAGCTGAAAAGCTTCTGTACAGCAAAGAACACCATCCATAGAACAAAAAGACATCATATAGTATGAGAAAATATATTCATAAATGACTTATCTGATGAGGGGTTAACATCCAAAATATATAAAGAGCTCACACTCAACAAAGAAAAATAATACAATTAAAAAATGGGCAGAGGAGCTGAACAGACAGTTCTCCAAAGAAGAAATTCAGATGGCCAACAGACACATGAAAAGATGCTCCACATCGCTAGTCATCAGAGAAATGAAAATTAAAACCACAATGAGATATCACCTCACCCCAGTAAGGATCACCACCATCCAAAAGACAAACAACAACAAATGTTGGCAAGGATGTGAGGAAAGGGGAACCCTCCTACACTGCTGGTGGGAATGTAAATTAGGTCAACCATTGTGGAAAGCAGTACGGAGGTTCCTCAAAGACTCAAAACAGAAATGCCATTTGACCCAGGAATTCCACTCCCAGGAATTTACCCTAAGAATGCAGCAGCCCTGTTTGAAAAAGACATATGCACCCCTATGTTTATCACAGCACTATTTACAATAGCCAAGAAATGGAAGCAAACTAAGTGTCCATCAGTAGATGAATGGATAAAGAAGAGGTGGTACATATACACAATGGAATATTATTCAGCCATAAGAAGAAAACAAACCCTTCTATTTGCAACAACATGGATGGAGCTCAGTGAAATAAGGCAGGCAGAAAAAGACAAGTACCAAATGATTTCACTCATATGTGGAGTATAAGAACAAAGAAAAAACTGAAGGAACAAAACAGCATGAGACTCACAGAACCCAAGAATGAATTAACAGTTACCAAAGGGAAAGGGACTGGGGAGGATGGGTGGGAAGGGAGGGATAAGTGTGAAAAAGGGGCATAGCAATTAGCACACATAATGTAGTGGGGGGGGCATGGGGACAGCAGTGCAACACAGAGAAGATGACTAGTGATTCTGTAGCATCTTACTATGCTGATAGACAGTGACTGTAATGGGGTATGAGGTGGGGACTTGATAATGGGGTGAGTCTAGTAACCATAACGTTGCTCATGTAATTTTACATTAATGATGCCAAAAGAAAAAAAAACTAAGAATAAGTGGCAACGGCTTCCACTCTGGTTTGACCAGCTTTGGGGAAGTAAGAAGAAAGGCCAAAGGTAAACAGTTGTACATGAAGAGTCAAGTCATACTGCTGGGGACAGCCTGGGGGCTGGGGAAGGCCACTGAAGACCATGGTCAAGAAGCTGCTTTACCATGATGTGTCTGCAACTGTGTAGCAGTTGTCTTTGCTCAGCAAATCTGAGGACTGTGTGGTATTGTGATCAGGGCTGGGTAAGTCTGGGCAGGTTTCTTTTTATCCTGTCCACATAGAAGACTGTCCTCACTTTAGATACTAAACCAAGGACAGATACTGATACAATAATCTCCATGTTGAACAGGACCTATATCCTTTCCATGGTCACTGTGGAATGATTTAATCCAGAGTTTTGTAAATGCTTAACAATCTACAAGTCTGCACCTAGCCAGAGAGGACCCCTGCTGCTCTGGGATACTTAATTGAATTGCCAGTTGTCTGTTTTGGGGCCTTTTTGACTCTGGCGTTCTAGGATTTTCCTCTCTGGAGGTCTTGATTTGGAAGTCCCCTTTGAATGGGACTACTTGGGTCCTGGGTTCCTTCCACAGGGGTTTCAGTAGGAACAAAGCCAGATAATCAAAATGAGTTGGCTGGAGGAATAGAAATGTTATTGATTAATATTGACAAGTCAGGAGACAGGCCTGAGAGTATGAAATAGGGGATGACGCTAAAAACGACAAAAATAACCCATACTATTTCCAGTCTGAAATGCCAGTGAATGATTCAGGGTGGATGTGTCCAGAAAGCTGACATTTCTATAGCAGCAAATGAAGTTGTCTGAGGGATGAGGGTGAGGTATACAGGGACCGTGTACAGAGAAAGGCAGTTCCCACCAGCTTCCCTTGACTGTGTCAAGCCAGAGCCTCTTTTTATGTCCTGCTTAAGGAAGGATGCAGGGTTGCCCAGAGCTGCACATTTTGAGCCATAGCTCTGAGAGCTGCGTGTCTATGCCCAGGCAAGTCGTAGCATTTTCTATACCGAGCAAGGCAGCTTCCTCTATAGAATGCTGCTTCCTTACCCAGAAGGGCACACCTGTTTTGGAGGGAGGAATAGACTTTCCTTCCAGAACCACTTTCAAAGACGTAGAAAAATGAACTCAGGGCCGAGAGTGAAGCCCAGGTTTTAGGAACTGCAGGTGAAGACCCCGCAAGGCTAACCCCTGCCTCTCTTCCTCATGGCTCTCTCTCCTGGTTTCTGCCAGGAATCTAGTGTCATTCAAAGAGGGGACTGCTCACAGACTTAGAAGTGTTCCCATATATATGACCTCGGTTGAGGGCACAACTTTTCAGATGAGGAACGGAGTCCTCAGCGATGCAGCCGGTGGTGGGCCGGTCTCCCACGGCGGACCGAGTTCTCCTCGCAGCCCACGGGGCCTTCCCCAGGCGGGGCTGGAGGAGCAGACACCCGCGGGGCTCCGGAAGCCCAGTCCGCCTGCCGCGCTCGTCGGAGGGAGGAGGCCGTCTGCGAGGTCCGGGGAAGACCAGGGGCTGACGCCACTCTGGGGCGGTCCTGGGAGCCGAGGGCCGATGGGCTTAGGCCCGAGGTCCCGGGAGGAGCGGCCAGCGGCCACGTGACCGAGCGCGGCAGGGCCCGCAACCCAGAAACATCAGCAGCCACGGTTCCGCCCTGGGCTGCGGCGAGGGGAAGGCGGGGACTGGAGACGCCGGCTGGGCGCGGGCGCGGCGCAGGTCGGTCCTGGAGGATGCTGAGCCCCTGCCCGGCCCGGCCCCGAGCACATGATGGCGATACGCGAGCTCAAAGTGTGTCTTCTCGGGGTGAGTCCTGCGCCGCCATCTACCGGTGACTGCCCAATTGCCCCTTGTCCCTGCACCCCCTGATCCGCACGTCCCCTGGTATGTGTGCCCCCTCGTCCTCGTGCCTCCCTGGTCCCGCGCCCCCAGTGCCTGGGCGCCCCTGGTCAACACGGTCCCCCTGGTCCGTGCACTCCCCTGTACGTCTGCAAGTCCCCGCGCCGCAGGGTCTGTGCGTCTGCTAGTCCCCCTGTCCGTGGGGCGCGTCGCCCGTCTCAGCCCTGCTGGGTCCGGGTCCGAGCCTGCCGAGGAGCAACCCCGGCTGGCTTCCCCCAGACATTTTCAAGGGATACGCGCGGGCCTCGCAGCGCCCCGGACAGGGCCGGGGTCTGGCGCCCGGGACCCCTGGGCGCGGAGGGCAGAGCGGCGGCGGGTGCTGTTGGGGCCGCGGCTCCTCCGAGGGCTTTCTCCTTCGCCTTTGATAATTTCCTTCCGGAGGAAATTTTAAGTTACTCTGTCAAGACGCTGAATCCCTTCTGCCTTCCTGGGGCACTTGGTTTATTTACTTGGAAAAAAAAAAAAAGAAAGCAAGCCCAATCCATGGTGAGAAAACGCGAGGGATGAAACGGGTGGAACGTGAAAGAAGAAGGTATTGTGCCTAGAAAACTGGTGCTCCGGACAAAGGCAGGATGAGAAAGCCCTCCCCGCCCCCACTTCCTCTCCCAGAGTGGGTCTTTCTGAGCCTGAAGAAACGTGAAAGAAACAGAAACAAACACCGAGGCGGGCGGCTGGGCAGACCTGTCAGATGACTCCTGAAAACCGGCCTGGAGTTCAGATAATGCTAAGGGTCATTTCCTTTGGGGTCCACGTCAAATTCCAGAATTACTTCTGAAAGGGCTGGTTTTAGACCGTGTCTTCAGCAGCCCTTGACATCCTTGTCTGGGGAACAGACTTTGGCAAGTCTCCTCTCCCAAGAAAACCATTTCCTAAAAAATGTGCAGTGGTGAGGCAGATCCATTCTTACTTGTCTCAAAGAAATGCCAACTGGTCTGTCCAGATGGATGTACAAGAAGTGCGTAAAGAGGAAATACTGCTGGGATAGGATTGTATGGTACTAGAGCAAGGGGGTGCCCAGGCTCCACCGAGGCTCTTCTGGAACTTTGGCAGGACAATGCCCTTAACTGTTTCCCATTACTGCCCTTTGCCAGAGCTCCCATTTACAGCAGGTTGTCTGGTTGGCCTGAATTCCAGGGGATCTGGCAAAGGCCCTTCCTGCCCTGTGTGTTCCTGCCCTCCTGGCTCGCTGAGCCACAGTGGGATGTAGATGGGATGCTGTTCTGGTCTACCTCTAATCACCCTTATTAGTGTTGCAGGGGTGGGTTTCACTGTATGCCAGGCTCTGTAACATAGCCTAGATGTAAATTCCAGGAATCCCATGTTTTTCTTGTGAGGAGTCACTTCAGTCTCACGCAAGGCCTTCAAAGACTTATAAGGAATGTTGTGTCCCAGGGAATCAGGAGGCAACTTTGCCGTGCATTGTGGGGGTCAGGACCGGCTTTGGGAATAAACAAAGTAGGAAATGTTCTGCCATTTTCTCCCCCTTTGTCCCTTGTCATCTGTGCCAAGTGGCACAAGCTCTGACCATCCCATGAATTATTTGCAATTTCACTATTTAGGGATGAGTCTTTGTATCCTGCAAGGAGAGAGATCAGGTGGGGAGCCCTCCCTCAGGGGGCAGCAAAACTGGGTTCCCATTCTTTACCACTCACTGGCTGTGTAGTTTTGGACAGACACCTCAGTTGCCTCATCTATAAAATGAACACGATAGCATCTTCCCTTTTAAGGGAGAGGGTTGTACCAGATGATCTCCTGAGATATATGGCACCATTTCCTCTTAACCTGTGATTCCAGGGTGCAAATTAAGGCTGGGTGGTGAGAAAGCTGGAGGAAATCCCTTTGCTGCTTCTCATCTCTAAGAATGAAACACTCCTTCAGTGACTTTCTGAAGGCAACACCTCATGCTTGTCTGCTAGTTTTTTTGTAGTGGTTCTGATGTAGAAGTTTGGGCTTGGAAGGGAAGAGCAGTGCCAAAGCAGAGCAAGAAGATATTTCTGGGCAAATGGGGGCTTTGAAGCATCAATCATGTCATACCATGTTTGTGGCCTTCTGTTTTGGAAAGTGGATATAGGTTGTAGACTTACTTAGGTCAGAAGATACCTTGTTTGAAAGGGCCAATGATCTTATTAGCCACACTGAGTAGTATTTGTTATTTTGGACCAGTTTGGCCGGTCCTGTCCTGGGCAAGATGTCTGTGACAGGCTGTGTTCTCAGCTGCTCATCCAAACAGGGCTTTTTTCTGGCTGAGATAGCATTTGGGTGAGGTCAAAGCCATTTTAACTACCATGGGTTTACTCTGTTGATTTGAGAGTGAACCCCATGGGTCAGTGGCTGGAAGGGTCAATGCCAAGTCCAGAAGTCTTCTCCCATTTTTCCCAGAGTCCTGAGCTCCTTTGTTCCTTTGTCAGAAGGTTTAACTTCGCTAGATGAAGCCTTGCCTGTGGCGGGCACTCAACTTCCTGTTTTTTCAGCCACACCTTCCTAATGCCTCAGTGTGACCAAGACCCTAGCAGCTCCACCCACTGTTGGGATCACTTTCTGTTGAGCCCCCTCTAGAAGGCGATAGAGAATTTGGACTTCCTACCTCAAGTCTTGCCATCTCACTGGAGAGGCTGAGGGGCTAGTAGTCTGTGTCTGGTCGTTTGCCTTAATTGCTCAGTGATTACCTGGGGACCTGCTGCCCATTTAAGGTGTACAGTTGCTTTGGCGCCAGCAGGTCAGACTTTTATCCTTCTTGGGAGGTACTCTCCAGCATCCTCTCTGGGGTCGGAGGTTCCCCATAGGAGGGTCATTTGCAACAGGTGGGAGTGAGAGGGTAATTTGATGTCTTCTGTCCCTGTCCCTGTGCCTTTCAGAGCCCTGAGGTTAGGCATGTCTGATCTTAGTTCTTTTGGTGAATGCATCTACGTGGAACTGACTAGTCCCTGGAGCCTTCTCTGAATGTTGTGCTCTTGGAAAAACCAAGGACTCAAGAGCTTTGGGTTTACTTAGGCTACCTGTTATAAGTTCTTGGCTGTTGTTATTTTCATGACTGGACTTTCTCCTGTTTATCCCAAGCCTTTGTGAATGCCCTTCCCTGGGATAAGAGGGCCATCCTTGGAAACTAGCCATTTAGGAGGATGTGTTTGACAGGGGTATAGACTGGGAAGGGTCCTTGTGGGACAACTGGGACCCCATGAGTCTGGTTCTTGCCAATAAAGTGCCACTGTGTAATCTCAACTAGTATTATGAAACATGTAGCTTAAAAACAACTTGCTTGAAAACAGCATAGTATGTTAAAAAAAAAAAACTAACAAAAACAATATTGAGGCAGCAGCTGTACTAACCCCAAAGGTGGAAAGTTTCCCAGTATGCATTTTTAGCACACATCACCACGTGGCAGAGAGCAGGAGGAGGGGGGGGGGAGGGGGAAGAGGGGGAGCTTTGGGGCAGGGGGGAGGAGGGATCTTTCTTTTATTATTTTCTCTGGGTGTGTACACTTAAAAACTGCTTCCTGATAGAATCCCAAAGAGATTTATATTTGGACTTTGGTTGTCTTGACAGCAGTTTAGAGATTTCTGCCACTTCCTCAACGGCCAAGTGGCATGGTTAAAAGTCTGCTTCTGGTAAGAAGCTTGGTGAGCCCCTCCTCTTGGCCTTTGTTAGAATCTGCATGGTGGTTCATCACAGAGTAGGCAAATACCAGGGATTCGGTGTGTTATCTGGTCAGTGAGGACTTGAGATTGTACAGTGCCTTCCCATGAAAGGGTTGTGTGGTTCCCAAGAGTCTATGATCCAAAAGAGCGACAGATTTCTGCTCACAATAAAGCAGATGAAAATCAGTCAGGGCTGTGGGACCTCAAATAGACTTCTTTGAGCCATAGGAATGCTCCCTTATGGAAAGTATTCAATAAGTTTTATGATCTTTTAGAGTCACTGTGGAAGGAATGAATACATAGGATAGGGTGGAGTGGGCTAGGCAACCATGAATATGGATTTCCAAGTCTGAAATTCAGTTACCATACAGGCAGACCTTGGAGGTATTGTGGGTTCAGTTCCAGTCCACTGAAATAAAGGGAATATCAAAATAAAGTGAGTCAAATGGATATTTTGGTTGCCCAAAGCATATTGCATGTGCAAGGTCCCTATTCACAGTAAGGCCCCACTCACAGGTACCAGGAGTTAGAACAGCAGTACATATTCAGGGAGACACAGTTTCACCTATAGCAAGAGCTTCAAGCCAGTCAGAAGAGGTGAACCTGAGTGTGGGAGGCCATACATTAATGAGGCAGTTCTGGAACCCAGAGCCCCCTGCTGTGGGCTTATGGTTTCCCTGGTATATGTGCATTGGTTGTTGGTAAAATTACCAAATATTGGGTATTTGGGTAAAAGTTATGCTTATACTGTAGTCTATTAAGTATACAATGGCATTATATCTAAAAAAACATGTACTCCCCTTGATTAAAAAATATTGCTAAAATGCTAGCCACCATCTGAGCTTCAGCAAGGCATAATCTTTTTTTGCTGTTGGAAGGTTTTGCTGTGATGTTGAGACTGCTGACTGATCAGGATGGTGGTCGCTGAAGTTTGGGGTGGCTGTGGCAATTTCTTAAAATAAGACAAGATGAAGCTTGTCATGTCAGTTGGCTCTTCCTTTCGTGAGTGATTTCTCAGTGGTATGTGATGCTGTTTGATACTATTCTACCCATAGTAGAACATCTTTCAGAATTGAAGTCAGTCCTCTTAAACCCTGCTGCTGCTTTATCAACTAAGTTTATATAATATTCTGAACTTTTATTATCATTTCGACACTCTTCACTGCATCTTCCCCAGGAGTAGATTCCATAGCAAGAAACTACCTTTCTCTCACCCATTAAAGTTTTATCATGAGATTGCAGCAATTCAGTCACATCTTCAGATTCCACTTC